CTTGTTTCTCCCATTCGACCACCCTTTTTGGTTAAATAGTGTTTACATTACTGTGACCACGTAAACATGGCCATTGCAGGGTTAATTAGGGTACAAGGATTACATTTTATTTGTATGTGTAGATTTTGGGTTTTCCAGGCATTTCTGGTTGACTTTATTTTATTTTTGTCAGGATCCCCTTTAAACAGTTCTCCATGCTTTCTTCAGGAGCTCTGGCAGTTCAGGAACTTGATCGTGTCTCCCTTCTTTCAGGAGGCGCCCTGCCACGGGTCCCTATCCCTGGGCTCAGTACACAGCTATCAGCCTGGGGCTTCTCCCCACTGCTCTCCAGAATGGAGCCACTGTTTCTGGAATTTTCTGTCTGCCTTTCTCGGCTTACTCCTTTATGTTGCTGGAGCATATTATTAATTACTTCCTTAAATGAGGTGCTGCATCCTTACCTATCTTAAAAATGTCTTTATTCTATTCTAATGGTTGATAATAGTTTATCAGGGTGTTGAATTCTGGGCTGAAATTACTTTCCTTCTGAATTTTCAAGGTCTGTTTCCTCTGCATTCAGAGTCTGGTGTTGCCATTTAGAATGCTCATGCCCCTGGAATATTCAGTGGGATTTTATATTTTCTCTCTGAACATTTTTTTGGTTATTCTCTTTGTCCCTGATATATTTTAGGTTGACATACACTGCTGTGGATCTATTTTTATTGTTTGTCCTGGGATGGACTCAGTGAACTCTATAAAGACCTCTAAACTTCAGGATTGTGAATTTTCTTGTGTTATTGATTTGATAGTTTCCTCTGCTCAGCGCGTTGGTTAAGAGCTGGCTTGGGATGCCAGAGGGCCCCGGTTCGGATCCCACATGAGGACCAGTGACACTGCGCCCTCTACAGCTATTTGGTGAACAATGGACAGTCTGGAGCTGGGCTGCCATGAGTCGCCAGCAATGGCGTAGGCTGCAGTGGGGCTGGCCAGCAGCAGGCATGAGCTTTTGTGAGTGGCCGTCCAATGGCCAGTGAGCGACTGCCTCACCCAGGAAGAGCGCAATGATAATACCAACAGGGGCCAGTGAAGCGACATCTTCCACAACTAGACGGAAGAACAAAAAGGACAGCAACTTCTATGTTCCCCTCCCCCCAACTCCCCAATAAAATCTTTTAAAAAAACCAAACAAACAAAAAAAACAAAAAAAACCTTCATCTTCCAGTTCTATGGAATGTTTATCTTCTACTTTCTGGGAGATTTCCCTAATCTTAGTTAGCTTCAATTCTACCGAATATTTTATTGGGTTGTCAGAAAAGTCACGATGCGTTTTTGCAACGAAAACACAAAAAAATACGTCATGACTTTTCCAACAACCCAATATTTTGGCAGCCATTTTTAAAATGTTTAAATTTCCAAAGAGCACTCTCTTGTCCTCCGAGTTTTCCATTTTGGTACTGTCTCCGTGGACATTAATTAGAGGTTGTGTTTGTTTTGTTTGAATTCTTTTCTGTTTCTTCCATTATTTCCGTGTCCTCAGGGGTCTTCTTTCTCTCTGTGTTTCCCTCAGTCTCATTATGTTGGCGACTCTCCTTGGGGGTGGATTAGCTTCAGCTATATCCATTCATATATTTAAGAATAAGACATGGAAATGTCACTTGGGAGCTGTGTGTTCGTGGATGGAGTTTTCTCAGTGTCTGTCTGGCTTTTGGGTTCTCAGTGGGAGCTGGTTGTTATGTGGGGACCCGTACATGTCTGTTTTCTGGGACCACTCAATTTTCCTGAGAAGAAATAAATCTTTAGTTTCCTGGTTGAAGGGTAGAGTCCAAAATATTTTGTTTGGTGGTACAGGTCGACTGTTATATAAGTGGACTTCCAGATAATCTCCATATTCTGGTGCCATATCTCATTCTTGCCTTCTACCACACCCAGCCCTTTGGGGACCAGTTCTCAGGGGCTCTCCAGGGGCAAATAAGCCCCTTCTCTCCTACCTCTTCTTCTTTGAACACTAAACTGCTGCTTTCTCCACTCTTATACCTGACCATTCTATACCTCTACCTGCTCTTAGTTTTCTAGAATTTTGTGGAATCCTCTTATATGCTGATGGCCTCTCCTCATTGTGTTAATGGTTTTTTTTTTTACTCTTTTTAGTTTTTGTTTTTTTAAAGAAAATCCCTTTCCTATAAGTCTAGAGGGGTGTTGGGAGAGAAGGGAAATACAACTGTCATTTCCGGTGACTGTGTTTCCACTGGCTGAGCTCCCAGGGAAAACAGCTATTTCTCAGTCATGTCTGTGTCCCCAGAGCCAAGCACAGTGAAGGGCATAGGTCAGCAGTCTGTAAACTATTGAATGAATGAAGTGGAACCTACTAATCTCCCTAATCCCTCATGCTTAGTACAATACCTGCTTGGCCAGGATAACAAAGGGGCACAGAAAACATGTCACATTTCAGAATGGTGAGAGGCCTACAGACATTCTGTCTGGAGGAGAGAAGACAATGTGTTGGGGGCTGGGTGGATAGAGGATGCGCATGGGGTTTCTAGCCACCTACGAATATCAGAGAGATATTGCATTTGGAAGAGCTGTCTTCATGTAGGAGGATTGACACTTTTCACGTGGCCTCAGAGGACATGAATAAGGCTATAGGAGGGTGAAAGATACTCAGTGACAGTTCAGCTCCTTATATGCAATCACTTTTTCACCTCTTAGCTCAGCCAGCTCCCTAATGATCAAGCAGACCACCCAGAGAGATAAGTTCCCTACCCTGGAAATATTTAAGCAGATCTGGACACCGGCAGTTAGAGTTGCTGTAGAGAAAATTCAACTAACTGGTTGAGAAATTAGAGAAGCTTATTAGGGAGACCACTTCATGGACGGTGTAGGTGCTTGACCAGAGCACTGTACATCTGAAGCTGAAGCTGAATAATATTGTATGTCAACTATAATTTTATATATATATATATATATATATAGTCACAGGATATGCGCATAGTATAGGGAATAGAGTCAATGGAATTGTAGTAGATATATACGATGTCAGAGGGGCACTGGGTGGGGGGAGGGGAGTTATCACTTTGTGAGGGGTTAAATATACAACTATTCCATTGTTTTGTACACCTGAAACTAATAATAAAAAAATAAAAATAAAAAACTTATTCAGGGCCGGCCGAGTGGCGCGATGGTTAAGAACTGGCTCGGGACGCCAGAGGGCCCCGGTTCGGATCCCACATATGAGGGCCGGTGACACTGCCCTCCACAGCTAAGATGCTGAACAACAGCTCAACCTGGAGCTGGGCTGCCATTAGTCGCCGGCGACGGTGTAGGCTGTAGCCCCTGTGGCAGTAGGTTGCCATGGGCTACCGTGTGTAGCCAGCAGCCAGCGTGAGCGGCCAGCAGCTGCAGTGAGCGGCCGTCCAGAAGCCGGCGACTGATCTGCCTCGCCCGGGAAGAGCGCAATGATGGTGCCAACTTGGGCCAGTGAAGCAACGTCCTCCACAACTAGACTGAAGAACAAAATGACAGCAACTTGTCTGTTCCCCTTTCCCCAATTCCCCAGCGCTGTTCCCATCCCTCCAATTCCCCAATAAAAATATTTAAAAAAAACAAAACAAAACTTATTCAGAGAAGAATAGATTTGAAAGCAGATACATTAAAAAAAGAAATTAGAGATTTTTTAAAACTCTACTAGAGTTAAAACGCCTTTTATAATAAATGTTTGATAATATCCTTTTTATTATGCTGAAATAAAATAATAGAAAGTAAAACCTACTTTAGAAAACCATATTTAAAAAAAACAATACAATTCCCTAATAGATATATAAAAGTAAAAATGACATGATTATAATATGGGCATATATGTTTTAACATGTAAATGTTCGGGCACGAGGATGCATAACGGAGTGAAATAATGCGAAGCTTGCATCCCTATGTGGGATCAGCGCGCATGTGATGGCGCAAATGCAGACTGGTACAGGTACGTCGTGTCAACGACTCAGATTCTGGGGGAAGCTCTGCCGTCAGAGACATGATTTCCCAAACTAACACACGACTCTTAATGAAGCTCTGAAGCACAACTTCTCCTCGATTTATATACAGAAGTGTTCCTAGCAGTGTCAACTGTGTTTATGGGTAAACCAGAGTTCAAAGATCATTATGAACAGGTTTCTACTTCTTGACAGGCATTTGAAATGCCATAGGAGATGCGGGATAAACCTTTTTTTTTTTTAATTTAATTTAATTTTTTAGCTGAGCCATCCTGCCACCTGTTGGCAGCTCAGCTCAGGCTGAGAATCAAACAGGCGACCCTGTTGCTTAGAGCTCACACTCGAGTGAGCTCTTAACCAACTGAGCCACTCAGCCGGCCCTGGGATAAACCTTTTTTTTGAGTGGACTGTCTTGTGGTTGCGTGAGGACAGGCACACTTGTCCTTTACCTCCTAAGTGTCAGTAGCCTTTCTCTAATTATTGTGACAATAAAAAATGCCCCCCACACACATATTTCCGAAATACCCCAGGAGTCACTGCTGCTGCGCCACTGGATTAGATGATCGCTAAGGTTCCTTCCAACCCTAGGATCCTCTGATTCCTTCAGGAGCTGGCGGTTCAGGGCAGGTGAGTGTGGCATTCTCCAGTCCCTAGAGCCACTTGGACTGGGGGACACAGAGTAGCTTCTGCCTCTGGCATCTGTGGGGGCTTCCTCTTTGCAAATAAATCCAGCTCAGCCAAAGTACCATCAGCACCATTAGCCCCACCCCCATGGAGGAGATTCACCGAATGGGTATCACTGCCCCTGCATTTGAGCTTCCGGAGAAGGGCAAGAAAATCTGACCTTTAAAATAATGGCACCCACAGTGTTCTCCACAGTAACCTGGATGCCGTTCCTTCCTTGCCCTCAGGCTAACCAATCCAGATTGGGAGGAAAGCAGCCATTCTTATTCTCCTCACCCCCTGAGCCCTCGTGACTGGAAAAAAAAAAAAGCAACGTTGTGCAGGCTGCTGGGGCCACAGCAGACGTGGGTCTCCTACCTGGCTGGTTCCATCTCTTCTCTCCTGCTTTCCAGAACCTCTTGTGTCTCCCGAGGCTGCCCAGTCCACTACTTCTTCCAGGCTATCAGCAGATCGCACGCCCTGGTCAGAGAACCATACAGAACATTGATGGGAACTCCTTTAACACCCCTCTCCTCCCCAAGATGAACTCTTCCCTCTGTTCCGGATCACATCTCCCAGTACCTCTGAGATCCACTCTGTAGTTATTCTCTCTTCCTCTGCACCTTTAACCACTTTTAATACTTTCCTCTCAGCTCAGAAACGGGTTCATCTTCTCCAACTTAAACAGGAAACAGAAACCCCTTTGTCCTACTTCTCTTTCAGACTACGGCTCTATCTCCCCCTCTCTGTTCCCACCAACGCTGGAGATTAATCTGCACTTTCTGTGACCTCTTTCTCAATAACCTTGACCCAGTGCAATCTGGTTCCTCTTCCCACCACAACACTGCAACCACTGGGTCACTAATGACCTAATTATCAAATCCTGTTTTGTTTTCATCTCCTAAATTCTCTGCAGCATTTCACTCTGCGAACTATGCTTTTTCCTGAAAGTTCTTTTCCTTTTTTTCTGATCCATTCTTTCCAGTCTGTCTTTGCTGGATCCTTCCTACTTCTCCATTTCTTTCCTTCCTCTCTTTCTTTTCTCCTCCTCCAATCTCCCCTTAAATAGTAGGGCCCCGGTGTTCTAGCCCCCTCTTCTTCCTTTCTGTCTCTAAAGGATCTTGCCCACTCTTATGCTTCAACAAGCCTTGGATGTTGACGCCTAGATCTACAGACTCAACTTCTCTCTTTAGCTCCAGTTCCAAACACACAGCTGCTTCTCAGTCTGCCCAAATGTGCTCTGCCTTCCGGGTTCTTTATCCCACCGATGGCGCCACCTCCACCTAGTTGCCTAGACAGCACACCTGAGAGTCACGCTTCACTTCTCCCCTCCCACCCCATATTCATTCTGCTCCCAAATCCTGCAGATCCTCAGCACCATTCTCCCGAACCTGGCCCCCCTCTCCATCCCCTCTGCCATGCCCCTCATCATTAAGCCTCTTTCTGAGGGTCCCGGTTGGTCTCCATTGCTGCCACCAGGTTTTCTCTATTCCAGTTCTTCCATAGTTCTCTTTTGAAGACTAATCAGTCATGACATTCTTCTCCATCTTACCTAAAGCCCCATAGGCACCTCACTGTCCACAGCTGAAGCTGAGGCTCCTCGGAATGACACAGAACACCCTTCCCCATCCTCTACAGCAGCTGTCCTGAGCCTCTGTAAGCCCTGAACGCACCTGCCCAGATAGTGATGGACATCTTGTACAGTGTGCCCTTTACGCTTATGTAGGCGCTGGTCTTGCCCTTGGGATCTGACAGCTATGCTCTTGCCTCACCCTTAACCTTCTCATCTTTGAATAAGCAGTGTTAGCATAATGCTAGCAAATAGCAATGCTCTGTGATTATCAGTCCAATGACCAAATAAATGAATGAGCAGATTGACTGATTAAAAAATTATACCCCTGGGGCCGGCCAAGTGGCTCAGTTGGTTAAGAGTTCGCTCAAGAGTGCGAGCTCTGAGCAACAGGGTTGCCGGTTTGATTCCCGGCCTGAACTGAGCTGCCGCTGAGCTGCCAACAGGTGGCAGGATGGCTTAGCTAAAAAACATGTGTTTTTTATAAAAAATTATACCCTTGTCTGCTTCTTCATCATATCATCCTCTAGGCCAAATTTGAACGTGCATAGGAATTACATGGAAACCTGGTTAAAATGCAGATGCTGATTCAATAGGTCCAGAATGTGGCCTGAGATGTACGCATTTCCCACACACTCCCAGGTTCTTGATGCTGCTGGTCTGCAGACCACACTAGAGGAGCAAGGCCCTAACCTATGCCAATATTTTCCAAACTTTACTGAGTATTAGAATCACCTGGAGAGCTTTAAAAAATCCCAATGCTCCAGGTGCACTCTATACTAAATCAGAATATCCGGGGAAGGAGACTAGAGGCAGTATTTTTAAAGATTCCCAGATGATTCCATGTGCAGTAAAGTTGGGGAACCCCTACCCTAGGCCATCTCTTCCTTCATCAGTGATGATGTTCAATCCTCATCAGAATCACCTGGGGAGCTTTTAACACCCACTGACGCCTGGGCCCCGCCCAGATCAATTAAATCAGAATCTCTGGGGTCTGGGCCTATGTGTTTTAAAGCTCCTGGGTGATGTTAATATGCAGCTGGGGTTGAGAGCCATTATTTCCTAACTCCAAGGAATGGCTGCGGGTTTGAAGAATCCTGAGCCCAGGGTACAGAGCTGGTGTGAAGTCTAACCCAGGCCTGGCTTTTCAGCTAGGCACTGTAGAATCTTGGAGAAGTGAATTGAGCCTCACCACTAAAACGAGATTAAAAATACATGCCCTCCCTACCCCCAGTTTAGTAAAGTCTTTTAGAACGGAATTGGGAAAAGCGCTTGCACAGGAGCCGGTCTTCACCTCTCTCATATGTGGTCACCACTTGTGTCCCCCGCTATCTATCAGGCTGGCTTCAGAGGCCCATCGCGGGGAGAGGTCTATCATGCACGAGCCCCCAGCTGCAGGCCCAGCTAGGGAGCAGATGGTTCAGGAGCAGCCCAGGCCACCAGAGGGAAGTCATGAGGACTTGCATTTGTAGGCAGGCTGAGCGGTGGAATCACACTCAGCCCCTGCCAAGCAGCCTGGCCTGCAGCCCGGATGCTGCATGGTGGGCTGTTCGGCCCTGAGAAGGGACAGGGCACACCCGCTGCTGCTCTCCGCACACACCGCAGCGCTGCCACCTGACCCACAGCAAGGAGCCCGCAGGTTTGCACCAGATTCCTCTGTTTCGAGCTCTCTCTGCAAATCTGTGCTGGCGCTGTGGGAAAGGCACAAAATGAACACGAAAAACACAGGTTCAAGTCCGGCCGGCTACCCCCAGCTGCATGCGTTTACCCTTGGTTTCCTTGACTGCTGTTATTATCACTTTCTATTTTATTAGCATCATAGATACATGTACAAAGGCCCTAGAACAAGCTGGCCCATTCCTGGCCCCTAGAGGCAGTAGAAACCCGGGGCCTCGAGGCTGGGGGCAGGGGCTGGGTGCTTAGTACCAGGGAAATCTTGAGACCTAGTTATATTTGAAAACTTTCTGTATTTATCTGAAATTAAAATTTAACAGGGTATCCTGGACATTTATTTGCTAAATCAGCAACCCTTCAGGAGGGGAAGGAAAAAGTGAAAAGGAGGAGCATGTGCTCCTGGGAGGAGACAGGCCTGGGGTGGAGGGGCTGCCTGGCCTGAGCTGGGTCTGGGCTGTGGACGGCAGGTCTCCCAGGCGGCAAAATTACACAAACTTTTGTGCCGCCAGAGCATCTTCTGGAAACTCAGCCAGCAAAGCCCAGCCAGTTCCCGGAGGCAGGTAAGGCGATGAATGGCTGGGCTGGGAGCTGGGAAAGGGTCCTGACTCACACTCCCAGCATCCTGCCATCTCACTCCAAGGGACTACGTCAACATGACTCTCCCCGGCTCTACAGGAACAAAAATGTCCCCGCCACCTGCCTTCACATGTCTCTACCTGAGTGGATGAGGCCTTGTAGCCCACAGTTACAATCCTTAAGGTTCACAGCACAACAGAGCAGAAAGAGCCTTTCAGTTCAACCAGCCCTTCCAGCTACTGCTGAGAAGTCTGAGCCCAGAGAAGGACAAGTTTGCCCAAAGCCACACAGCGAGAGAGGAGCTAGGTTGGGATCCAGGTCTCCCTGCCAGTCTGGTCGACTAACCCCATGCCTTGTCTCTACCCCAACCACCGGATAGAAATGCCCATGACTTAATATGCAGACCCACTCATCAGCTCCACAGTCTAGGATCAAGAGGACCCAAAGAGGGCCTTCGGTTTTCTCTAGTTACAAACCCAACTAGAAGCAAAACTGCAGAGAACCCTGTCCTGCAAAGGGAAAAAAAAGCATTTCCCAGGGCATCTGGTGATGGCCAGATTGCCGGGGGCTAGCCCCGCTCACGGTGCCTGCTGTGACAAGTAGGCGCGGCTTGTCGGTGCCCTCGTGGCTGCACCGCACAGAGAAAGCACAACCCATGGAGCCAGGAGATCTGGCACAAAGCCTGATCTGATTGGTTTTGCCTAATTCCCCAGCTTAGTCCTTCACCTGTGACGTGGAACCATATCACAGGGTGTCGTGAAGATGAAATGATAGCGGGCACAGGACCTCAGGCATTTTGTTATAAGGCCTAAAATGTCAGGTGCTGCCCTGACATCTTTGAGTCCCAGAGGCCTAACTGTGACTTGTCCAGCTTTCTCTAGATATGTGTGCTTCCCCCCCCCAGCTGGAAAGGCCCCTCACGCAGCTAGTTCCCCTAGCTGCACCCTACCGGTCTTCAACCTAATGGGGTTCACCACCCTGCCAGCCCAAGATATTATTCAAACGAGCCAATCAAACCCTCCCACCCTCTTGTCACCACAAAGCCTGTGCTCCACAGCCCCTGCTGGCTCACTCTGTTCCCAAGTGCAGCTCCCATGAGTGCGACCCTCATGGGGCCCCAGATGGCAGGTGATGTCCTTCCCCAGGCTGTGAGTGTATGTGACTAACAAACTATTGCCAATCTCATCTGTCCAGTGTCAGGTGTTGGACGTTCAACTGTCTTGTACTGCTCAGGGCAGGGGAGCTCTCTGTCACCAACAGGGTGAATAGTAAGTGGCCAGAACAGGGGGCTTCGTGAGACTGAGGACTGATGCTCGACAAACACTCTAAATCTCTCTCCTTCTGGGCAGAGCGTCCCCTTGTGTTCCTAAATGGTGGTGCTGGGCTTTCACACAGGGAGTGCCTGAAACCCTGACAACAGACCTTAGCCAGACAGCATTTGGGGAGACAGTACTTTGGAGTCTTCTCAGGCTCTTAGGGTCAACAGTCCCCTAACCCCGACACACTTGTCTTCCCTGTATCTTGTCAGACTACTGCCTGTGGAAGGATCATGGCAAATGTTGTATCTCTGTTTTTATACTATGTAGAGAAACAACTAGTCCAAGGTCACACAGACAGGAGAGATAGGGCTGGGTCCATCCCTCCCCCCAGCCCACTGTCAGCACCGACCCGGTGACCCACAGCCTCTAAGGAAGCCAAGCACTGTATGCTCCCTAGGTGTTTGTTCCCTAGGCTGAGGCAATGCCCTCCCAGCCTCACCTCTGTGATGGCTGCAGAACTGCAAAGGTTGGCCTTGGTAATGAGACACATGTCCCCTGGGAAGCTCTGCATGGGGAAGGCATCACAGTGACCTTGTCCCAGCTCACTTGGCCCTTGTCTCAGTTCCCCCACTGGGCTCAGGGGTCCCTCTGATGAACAGTGAGGTGATCAGGAGGTCTCTACATGATTCCTTGCATGTGGGAATACCCTGAGATTCTCCTCCCTAAGAGTAAACTTTAGCACTATTTCCATTTAGCTCTCCTGTCCTTTGCTTGGGGATGGGAGCTGCCAGCTGCGGCCCTGAGCTGGGGGTGACAGCTATGGGGCTTTGGCCAGCCTGGAGCTGTTTCTCGCACATGCTTCCCTTGGGTGCCTTTCTAAGAGCAGTGAGTCCCTGATTGCTCAATGATGGGCCCTGGGCTTCCAGCTAAAGAAAGAAGTCGAAGACCCTGGCCAGGAGGCAGTCAAGTTACCATTGAACCTGTGGTCGGCCTTTCCCATGCCGAAAGTACCCTGAGCTTCTCAGGAACCCAGATAATTCAGGAGCCAGCTCTCTTGGCTAGCACTGATTTCAGATGCTAATACAAGAGTCAGGCACCCTCAGAACAAGTTCACTCTCAAGCTGTGAGGACCATCCCTGCTTCAGCTAATCCCTATTATGCAGATAGAGAAAATGGGGCTCATCATAAGGACTTGCTTCAGTAATCAGCATGGGACTGGAAACAGAATTTGCCCCCTTGTGCTGGGAATGGGTGCTGAGTCAGTCCAGCTCCCTGCTGAGCACCTGACCTGGGGGAGTGGGACCGGAAGCTCTGTTGGCCCATGATGCCTGTGGTCAGGCAAGGACAACTTCAGAGGTCTGGGTTCTCCCCAACCAGTGCACTGTCATGTGCAGGCTTCCTGCATGATGGGGCCCTCACCTTCCCTAGCTGTCCTCCCCGGGTCCCTGATCTTCACAACCAGAGGAGAAGCTAGGCTCTACTGAACAAACATCCCTCTATCTGCTTGACCTTGGCCAGCTTTCCTGTGAGGCCACTGACAGATGTTACCCAGGTGAGCACAGAAGGAGGCCAGGGAAGCTTAGAAAGTAGCCAAGAGTGGGGCCAGGCAGATGGTGGAAGCTTTGCTGCTCCCAAAGGACCAAATTTTGGCTGCAAAGATCCTGGGGGCCACTGTCCTTTAGTGGAAGGCACATCCCCTTACTGTTCACCGATTTTGGTCATACTGCCACCTCCTTAACCGAGTTACGCAGAGCTCGGTCATGAAAATTCATTCCTTTGGGAGAACAGCCGTTTCCTGACGCCCCTTGAGACTCGTGGAAACTCTGGGGCTATCACAATATCGGGCTTTGGCTTATACCCTGTGAGAAGGAAGTGTCACCAGACTGTGGTGACTGTCTCTCTTTCCCTTGCCCCCAGCCCGGGAGCTTTTTCTGTCCTCCCTTGGATAGCTTAGGAGCAAGCAGAACAATGGATTTTTCGGCGAAAAAGCCATTTCCTGCTGACTGACAGTGTGCATGCCTCACTCCAGGTCCCAGAGCTTCTGTAAGCAGGCTGTTTCCTCCCCAAGCCCAGACCTCCTCTAGAGCTATGGGCTCAGGAGGACAAAGACAACACCTGGCTCTGCCCCTGGGTCAGATATAACAAGTCTGAGAGAGGAGACTGTCTAGGGAGGAAGAGTGTTCTGATGCCCGGGGAGGGAAAGGGGCCCATGGTCTCCAGCTTGCCAGAGGTCTCTACAACAGGGTAGGGCAGGATGGAGAGAGGGGCTTCTCTTGGCTTCCTTCACCCACTCCTGAATCAGCTAGGACGTGATGCATACCCCTTCTGCTTGTCCTGGAGGAGCTGGGATGACAGTACGTTCTAGAGAGGCGTCTGGGACAATATTCCAGCACCATTTCTGGTGCTTTCATCAGCCAAAAGAACCCAGGAGTGGAAAGAGCCACAGATAGATTTCCTGGGTCCTGGATTCCATTTGGGGTGGGGTAGGGGGTGGGGGCTCTCACAGAGGTCTCTGTGTGGCCACAGCCCAATGAGTCACCACAAAAATTACCTCTAGGAGCCTCTTAGGCAGTCCAGGACACAGCTCTGCTGAGAACTCACGCAGCCATTACCCCATCCAGAGCCCAGAAAGCCATGACATTAACCGAACTCTCTCTGACTTCTGGGGGAGGTAGAGAAGTGGACAGAATTCATCCCCACCCCACCCCCTCTACCACATGAGGCCTGGATTTAGAAAAAGAGGAATGGGTGGGGCTGTGAGGATGTCTGGAAGGGAGTATCGGGGGCTACTCATTGCGTTTCTAGAATCCAGAAAATTCCAGACCCCTCCAGTGCCTTCTGAAGGCTGGCTTGCCTTTTGGGGAAGCGATCTGGCTTTATTTACTTATTTTAATGAACTGAGGCTGAAAGAGGAGCTTGTGGCAGGACCTTAGCAGCCTCTTTTGAGAGTCACTACCCCTTGCAGGAAGCCAGAGCCCAACACTGTGATTCCTGCCAGTCAGCTTCCGGAATTTCCAAGACCGGTTTTGCCCCTCCAAGCTCCAGGCCACCCGACAGAGATCTGGGATGGAAAAGCAAGGACCGGACTTGTGTGTGTATATGTGTGTTGGGAGTGGGAGTGGGGACGGTCTAGGGTCAGATTCAGGAATGAGTTAGAAGCCAGAAAGTCCAAGGCAGGGAGTGCTCACTCCGAGGCCCAGTAGAGGCTCAGGGAAGGCATGGAGCTGTCCGGACCCTAGTGCTGAAAACGGAGATGGGGGCCACAGAGCTAGAGCTAGGGGAGAGCAGCCACCTGAGCCTGAGCCTTTGCCCCTGGTGAGAGGGGGGCGTATGGAAAGGGATTCTCTTCTACTCAAGTTCCAAGCAGGGGAGGGCACAAGTGAGTTGGGGAGAGGATACAGGCTGAGCTTTGAGAACTGTGCAGCCACCAGAAGCTGCGGGCAGCATGGCGAAAGCGGGCCACCACCCAGCTGGAGGTAGGCTGCAATCTGGGCCAGCTGTGGGAGATGAGCAAGGAAAAGACCCTGGACCTGGGCTGGTACGCTGGCTACAGGTCAAGGAGAGGTGCATGAGGTGTTCTCATACGTATGACACTGACAAACCCGCACAGCGGACTTCCATGCGTGCACACATACACACCTCATGAACACACGGAGTGAGCTCCCAGAATAGGCACACATCAAGCACGCACAAGCAGCACCATACACACACTCTGCTCACGGGCACCGGTTCCCAGTCCAGGTTGCCGAGGCTCCCACTCCAGTCTCGCATCCCCACGGCCAGTCTGGCCTGGACACCCCTTCCACTTAGCTTTCCTGCCCCAGATGGCGCCTCACAGGGAGACAGACAGTGGGAAGCCCCAGTTCTAGTCTGCGACCCGCGAAGGCGCTGCAGAGGGGCGGACGGCAACTCCTACTCTCAGAAAAGGGGTGGGGAGACAGGCAGAGAGGATAAATCTCAGAAACCACTTCTGTCCCCCAAACTCCCAGTTTTGGTGCCAGAGCACAAGAGGAGTGTGGACAAGGGTGAGTGTGTCTCCCTACCCCATGCTGGGGACACCCTGAGCGTACCTGTGAGTGGGGGGCCCCCGCGTGGAGCCCCCTCAGCGATTCCGGCTCCTCTGGCTCCCCCTGTATAAAGGTGGGGTGGGTGGGAATGGGGGTTACCCCGCTTGCCCTCCACGCCGCCTCATATCCGTGGGCAACGGAGAAACTCCGTTCCGGGCAGCGGGAAGTTACCTGGGTCCGGGCGCTGGAAAGGGACGCTCTCTGGTCCTCGGGCCTTGCCAGGGTTCCCGCGCCCCCGCGCCCGCCGCCCCCGCCACCTCGCCTGCGCCCTCCCGCCAGTAGACTGCGCGGAGCCTGAAAGCCGGGAGCCTGCCCGCCCTCCCGGAGAGTCTGCTGCTGACCTGCATTGACGTCATTGCGTCATTAGGTTTCCCCTGGAAACACTGGCGCGCCCAAAATAGTAACATATTAATTCAGGCCGGGGGAGCAGGGAGAGACTGTTTGTAACCCTGCAGCTAACTCAGCGTGCGCCAGCCAGCGCGCAACGGCCCCCACCCCTTCTGAGGGCCGCGCGGATAGCGCTCGCCGACTATTTTGAGAACAAAGGGAGGCAAAATATAGAACCCCGGAGAGAGGGTGCGGGGGACGCCGAGACCCTCTCGCCTTGCACGCATGCACTCCCACAGACGCACACACACACACACACACACACACACACACACGAGCGCGCTTCTGCACATCACACCTGGGTCTGGCTACCTTTCTGGCAGGCGCTCCCTGCATGCGGGCTCTTTCAGGGACCTGATGGGGTGTGTTTGCCCAGATCCCCGGGGCACAAGGACAAGTCCAGGTGAGGCCCTTCTGCTCTGCTGGGCTGAAGGACGAATCCTCCCCAGTTCGACCTCGCTCGGTGGGTGGGCAGGGCGCCCTCCCTCTACGCGCCCATCCCTACCCACCCATGCGAACCCTAGCAAGAGGGGCTCCTCTCCCAGGCGGCAGGCACACCCCCGTGCTTTCTCCTGCGGCAGTGCCCGGACCCCGCTTGTAGGGGAAACCCTGCAGGGATCCAGCCAGCTGCCAGCGGCTGCCCCCAGCTGGGAAGTGGCGGGGTGGGGGGTGGTCCAGGCCACACTCCCGTTCCCGTGTACTCTTTGGCACCCAGGGAGGACGGATTTCGGACGGAAAGACTGGGGACCAGGGTTGCTGTCACAGGCTCCAGAATCGTTTGGGCTGGGGAGTGACCGACTTTTCTGAGCGTCCTCTCGCTCCCGCTCTCCGCGGCCCGGCACGCAGAAAGATATTGGTGAAACGTGAGCACAGGCTTCAGAGGCTCTTGACTAGTTCTCGTCCTGCCTAGACGGGGCCCTTGACTCAGCTTCTCTGAGCGTGAAGAGAACGCTTCTCCGGATCAAAATAGCAAGTGCTGTCGGCCGAGGAGGGGAGGTGGCACTCGAAACTCCGAGCCAAAAGAAGGATGCTGGGCGGAGCAGGCGCCACAGGCTCCCGCGCGCACGTGAGTGTAAGAGCAGGGGGTGGGGGTGGGGTGTCATTTGAGAGGGCTCAACCTTCCCCTTCCTCCCAGAGGCCGCCCAGGAGCCCAGTGAAGGGCGCTGAGAGGTCTCTCCTGCTTCATCTCACCCTGCGCTCATCTCGCCTTTGCTCTCTCTGGCCAGGGAGGGGACATGCCTGGGATTTGGGAACATGTCTCTTTGTGAGTGTGCGCACAGCTCATGGCAGTGACTCGGATCACACAGCACCCAACCCTGTAGCAAGGAAAAAAGGATGCTTCTCACCGGAGCGCCCTGACCACAGGTATTGCCTCTCGGCCTTTGTTCCTGTTGACCAACCACAGAGGTGATGAGCAAGCAACCACGTGCTGACCTTTGTGGACAAACCCAGCTGTCTGCATCAGATAGAAACCAGACCAAAGAGCAGGCTTTGGAGAGGACAAGCCTGTCCTTCCCCCTTCTGAGCTGTGGGAACTCTCCCTGCACATACCTTTCCCTCTAAAGCTGGGTCACGAAGCCCACTCCACAGGCCGTTGTGAAGATGACAAGAGATGGTACCTAGACTGTACTAGAGAAATGACATGCCCTAGACCTGCCCCTGCCCCCTGTGGGTGGTTCTCTCTGCAGTGTGAACCCACACTCTTCAACATATACACATTCCCTAGTGACATCTTTGGGGAAAGCTGGTCAAGAGATGCTGGGGAAACAGTGACATAGTGTCCTAGCCCCCAAAAGGATGGCACCTGTGCTCTTTTTCTCCACATCATCAGCCTCTGATCTAATGCCTTCAGATTCAAGTTCAATCAAGTGGGAGCGGTGGTAGGGGCCCCGTGGTCTGGCTCGTCCTCCCTCTATAGGCTATTTCCCAGCAGGCCATGCACCAAGGCCACATGGTCTGGGCTCCCCTCACCACAGCTCCTGTCCCACTGAGCCACCACCATCATCTACCTGCCTCGCTCCTCTCCGGACCATGGCAGGGACCATGTGGCACTCTGTTCCCACAGCAACTCCTGGCCCAGTGCCTGGCATAGCAGCTGACATTAATTGTTGGTAAACCAAAGACATAGTCTCTCTTTCGGTAACCTCCTGCCCCAGCCTATGTCTCCATGTCAGTGTCCACGCAGTCCCTAGGTCAAATGCTGACTTCTCCACACAGGCCTTTTGGATCCCAGTGAGTAAGCTCACTCAGCCTTAGTCCCTGGATCACTTGCAAGAGCTCTCACAGCTTGATCAAGTTCTGCCCCGAATTGCCATTCTCTGTATAAGCTGTACATCTCCCTGCTGGGCTGTAACTTCTCAGAGTTGCATCTGGGTCTTGCCCATCTCTGTGTGCTCCACATAGCTCAGCTGTGCCCAGCTCTGGCTCATGGCAGATGCTCAGGAAATGTTTCCTGCACTGAACTCTGCAGGTCTGCCCACCATCTCAGTCAAGGACTGGCCTTAGATGGACAGTGATGCCAATGGTGGTATCTCTGCAGACCTGGGCTAAGAGAGACCATGGCAATGTCAGTCTATAGGTGCCCTGCTCCACCTAGCCCTGAGGAGGGAGGCCATGGGAGAGCATCCTTCTGACTTTTTTTCTACTTTGGGGCAAAGTGCAGAGGATGCCTGGCTGCCTGGGAGGATGAGAGGGAGGTGAGGGAAGGAACAGACCCAGCAGGGTCGAAGCCATGATCTGCTCCGTCAGCTGTTTGGAAGGAAAGCCAGCATCTTGTAATCAAGGGACTGACCCTAGTCTAGTCCTGGCCCACAGCAGCGTCTGTTACTCAATGAATAATGAAAAATTGGAGGCTCAGAACAAGGCAGGATCTGTCCCAGCCAGTGAAAATGTGGCAGCCACCAGACCCCTCCACACACATGCAGGCCTAAGTCCTTCTTGGCACAGCCTCATCCTGGCCACATTGCTTCCCCAGGCCATCTCAGCTATGCATCCCAGGCTAGTCAGCACAACTGTGTCAACCTGTGGGTCCCAAGGGGCCAGCTGGATTCCCTAATGCAACACTCCCTGTCCTCAAGGAGGGGAGTGGAGGACTTCTCTGTGTCCCCAAGATGCACCTCCCTATGAGTGTGTCTCTATTGCCATTGCAGGGGCCTTTTGATAACAGACTCACTCAGCCGGCTGCAGGGAATTGGCTGTGAGGAGATGCATGGGAATAGCAGTGAGGATATTCTAGGTATGTTAACCTCCCTGGCGGTCTGATTATGTCAGTAATTTTGTACCCAAAGCGGTACA